ACTCGGAGGACCGGCGGTGGAGGGGATGCGGTTGAAGCCGGACGCCATCCTCCTACAGACGGACGGACACCGGAAACCGCCACGCAGCGAACTGCCGCCGCTATGCTGCTGCTGCTACACCCGCTCCATGCCGGAGCTTCACCGAGGAGCCAGAAACAACCCGAGGTGGGTTGCTCCCAGAGTTTGTTCGAAGAAGATTCAAACAAATACAAAGGAATATACGAGCTTAAGAAATTTGCAAAGATATGTATTCGTTTTAACAGTAGGGGGGAGTGTTTCACCGAGTCAATCAATGTAAACACTGAAGTGAGTAGGTAGTTTACCTGCAACCGACATTTTCACCGATTTGTAGACAAAATCACTTCATTAACATGGACGGATTACCGAATAGTCCAACTGGGCACAGGCCCCGTGGGTCAAGGGTCCCTGCAGCAGAGCCTCTGTATGAAGTGACTGTTGATATTTATTGTTTGAAAGTATCAGAGCTCAGTTAAAAGACACAAAACGACCACAAATATACACTAAATGACTACACAATGTCGAAACGATCACAAGGTGACAAGGAGTGACAACAGAAAAACTTAAAACAACAAAAAACAGTCAAAACATGACCTCAAAGTCTCAAAGAGACCATAAAGTGATTAGAAACAACTACAAAGAGACGTAAAACAACTGAAAAAGAGATGCAAAACAAACACAAACAGGCTTAAAACAACCACAAAGTAATCACATAGAGACTCAAAATGTCTATAAAGTGACGCAAACAGCCAAAAAGAGAAGGAAAATGTCCAAAGAGATGCAAAATGACCATAAAATAACTCAACAGTACCATAATAAAACTTAAAACGATGAAAAGAGCCACAAAACAACTAGATTATAAACTATCTAAAGGAGACACATTTCCCCCACCCCTCCTTGCCTTTACTCTTTGGGCCCAGGGGCCAGTAGCCTTTTATATCTTATATATTAAAAAATTAGTTACATGCAAAATAAAGAAAAGAAAGTTTCCTTTTAAGATATACTCTGTTGTTTGTTTCAGCTGTAGAAGTCTTCACACACACCTTGAATTAAAGGTGGACCTTTTCATTATCATTTTTAAACACAGCAGCCCGATCTAACAACCTCTGAGGTTTCAACCTAATTGGAAAACAAAAGGAGGCAGTTTCATTGCTGTTGGATGTAAATAGTTATGTATCCTGGGGGCAGGGTTTTAATTGTGTTAACACCACTTTGATGTTCTGGGTGAATGTAATCCTATATTGAAGAAAAACTTGATGTATTTTGTATAATAAAGTAAAGTGTATTATAAAGTATTTAAGTAAATATAATAGTGATATATTTTATTATAAAAGCAGTGGTGGAACATAACCAAGTATATTTACTCAAGTTTAAATATCATTTTACCTTATTTTAATTTACTTAGATGCTGAAGATAAAGTAAAGGGTTGTAGACTTCTTGTACTTTTGCACTAAAAATGACACAATAAGGCCAAAAGCATCAAACTATAGAGGTGCCCTTTTTGAGCTTTTTGAGCTGCTTAAAATGTCCTTGTTGGTACTGCAGTGGAAAGTTTATTTTATTTAGTATTAATACATGTTTTCACAGGGATGCAAGAATCCACCTCAGGCGAGTACCTTATGGTCCCTCACAGCCAGCAAGAAATGGTAAGTCAAATGCGGTCGTATTTGTCACTGAAAGTGACAGTTAAAATTTGGCATAGGGTGAAATAGGCTCTCATTTTCATAATGTAAAGATGTAAAGTAATTTAAGGTTTAACACAGCCATGGTCATAGATTTATGCTGAGAAATGTGGTGTGAAGATATGTATGTTAAGTTAGCAGCAAACGTCTTTAAAAACAGACTCATATGCCAAATGAGTTTTATGTTCTTTTCGCAGACAGAGTAGTTTGAGTTAAACACATTAGAATGCTTCAAAAACATTTTAAAGTTTGACTGAACTTAAAGAAAAACTTTTAAAATCTTAACAGGATTCCTGTACAGTAGTACAGTATCTACTGCTTTGAAACTGATGGGAGCTTCCTGCATAACTGGCACCTGACTGACTTAATAATGGTAAGTGAAATTCATTTTAAGTAAAATTTGTTTTTCAATATTGTATTGTGAAGAGCTGCCAAAAATGTCATGCGTATTACTACACCCCATACTCATATAAGGTCGAGGACCTAGATTCGGGTCATGATGATTTTGAGCTTGTTGATTGTTGTAAACCATTTGTAAACCTGTAAAATAATGAGAAATTCAAGTTTGTGCATGTGTAAAAAATGTGCTTGTGCCAAAGAAATTTGTATTTTTGTGTGAATTACAGTTTTTTCTGTTAACAAATAGAAAAAACAGCTCACAAATTCTGTGTTATGTGTACTAGATATTCCCACTCAACATGACATGAAATTATGTTATTAAAACAAATCGTTTGGTTGAAAATGTGTTAAACTAACAGAAATCTCCAGGCAGAAGTGACACATTTATTTTGTATCGTGTGCACTCACAGCTGTCATGTAACTACTAAACTAAAGGATTTTTTTATGTGCATCTGTTTCCGGTAAATCTCAGTAGAGTGTGATTAGGCTAAGTAATGCCAAATGTTATGTTAGTTTGACTTCAAAACTTCACTTACACAATATGACTCACATTTAAACTTTTTTCACTGCTTACATTACAGTTTGTATTCTTCATCCCTTTTCCCTTTTTTCCATCTCTTAATACTACTTCAACTGCGTCTTGATACAAATTCAAGCCTGCAACAGAGTTTAGCTTCAGCTTGTGCAGAAGCATCAATCCTACTCTGATTTCTTCAGATATTGCATTTTGTAGTTGAGTCTTTTTACATAACATCGTCCCCGTGGCCCCCGAGCCAGGCCATTTTCAGTACTTTCGGGTGGATTCAAAAAGAAAACATGAGTGCAAGTAAAGTTCAGTCTCAAAGACAAAATCATCAGTTGGATGTGACAATGTTGCTTTTACTTACCCGGTTAAGTATTCAGATTTTATTTTAAAACAAAATACAGAAAACCATGTGAAAAGATTCTTAGTTTATTGTACTTACCCAAGTCCTGAAGAGGGGAAATGTGGAAACACTTCATATAAACTTATTTTAAGCTTGGCTTCAACCTTTTAAGCTTTTAGTTATAACACAGAGATTAAAAGTTAAGGTTTTTTTTACTGTATTTATGTTTCTGTGTTTGACTCGGGTTATTTAAAGGAAAAGTATGATTTAGGGAATTTAGGGAATGACGTTTATTCAATTTCTTGTCCATTTAGCTATACACACTGTAGGTATATATCATAGTATTCTATTATTACTATACTATATTACTATACCCATATTGTTCATATTCATATACCATTATATACCTTCAGTTTTATTGTGTATATGGGAAATTATTATTCATATCTTACCCACAGTTTCATATCATGGCTACCTGAATTGCACTATTTGACTCAAATAAGTAATATAGTCTAAGGTTTTGAAATGTATATATGGTTTATATCTGAGTGCTTCTTCAACCACTGGTCATGTTTTATTTCATCATATTGCCCGACCCTACCTTGAGCTGTCGTTTGCAGTCGTTGTAGAAGTAGCTGTAGCTGTAGCTGTAGTTTTCTTCACCACCTTTATGAAGTTAAGTCGTTTGAGACAGCAGTAATAACCACACCAAACTCATTAATTTCAAACATTTCATTATTTTCTCCACATTAACTTCGAAACAACCTCATAAACCAAAGAGTAAGAAAGAGCATGCTCGGGCATGCAATGATGTCACAACATGATGATGCCACTGGGTGCGAAGTATAAAACATACAGTAGCAGAGAGTTTCTTTTTATATCATTCATAAACTCAGGACATTTTTCGGTATCCACTGAGAGTTAAAAGCTAGCGTTTATTTTACACTGCTCTCCATGTCTCACGTAGCCTTGTGTTGCTGGATAAAAGAGACGAGAGGGAGAAACTCACAAACTGACACCAGATTGAGCAGGCTAAACAAACATGCTGAAAAAAATCTCATCCGGCCCAAAAAGTGTCTGGAAATGACACCGTAGAAACCCCATTTTTCCCTTTTTGACTGGTCCAAAAGGGGGACTGGGAGAGAGAGACAAAACAGTGCATGCCATTTCAGGGTGAAGAGGAAGGTTTGTGTGTGGGGGGGTGGAGGGTCACCTTTCTTAATGTTGAAGGGTATTCCTCTCCTCTTAGCCTGCCCACATTGGGGTGTTTTATCCAGGGTCGGGTTTTAAATAAATTTGAGACGGAAAATGAATAAATACGAGGCACTCAGCATTCTCTCTGTCTTGCAAACTGCAAAAAGTAACAAACTTGAATAATAATGACACATACACATATATAGTAGAATTAGTGGTTATAACATAACAGTCTCTAGGCTGTACAAAGGGGCAAGGCTGAATCCTCCTCAGTATGTCAGCAGTTAAATTTGTTTTATGTGTTTTTTTTTGCGTGCGAATGTGTGTGTTTGTGTGGGTCGACATAAAATTTCACTTCACTCACAATAAAATTCAGGAAGTTCCTGGAGGATTTAGACTGATGGGTCTCGGCGTGTGTTGGTCGCTGCAGTTTGATCCACAAATCAAACGTGAATCTGATTCGCTCAGATTCTGTGATTTGGTTGGATGCGAAGTGATTCCCAAATCTCTGCCAACAGGTGTGGTGACAAGAGGTGATAATCAGGATGGAGTGCGTCAGATGAAGACAGAACAGTGATGTTAAAGGGATAGAAAATGCACTTTTTAAAACCCCACACAGCCTCATGCAATGGTTGTGTGTGTTTATGTAGTTCGTAGTGGAAAAAAGAAAAGAATGACGGAGCCCTTTAAAATGGATCTACTCTTGCAGCATAGTTGTGTATGTAGCGCATAGTGCGAGGGAGGGGGGTTAGAGACTGGTGGAGTGGACTGAAAGGGGAAAGGGTTAAAAGGCAAATGAGGGGGTGTGGGGGGGTGGAGTTTAGGATGGAGTGTGTGTGAATGCTCTTGGTTAGCATGTTCCTCATGATAACCAGGAAACAGGGGTTGCTATATTCTTGTCTAGAGTGATGGAAAAATGGGCAAAACTGCCTGTGCCATCTCCAGTCCGTATGTGATGGACACCCATGCATGTGTGTCCCGATACACCGCGCTAGTTTAAAGCTGCACTCTTTACCCTCCTGTGACTCTTATCCAATCACCTTTTTTTTTTCTATGGTTGCAAGTTCAAAATAAGCATTTTGAAAAGGAACGGTGCTCTCAGAGAAACTGAAATGGGCTTCAACAGAGGTGGAAAGACCAGTAGCAACAATAGAAAGGCTCTGCTGTGTCCGTCACTCGGGCTGCGGGCTCCAGTCGAATAGGCAGAATGTCCGTCTCGGTAAGTAATAATATCATATACTGTAATTATCAATAAGTCTTAGTAGATCATACCTGTATAAGCTTAAATAAAGAAGTGAATGAAAAGAATGGCTACTCCAATATTGAGTAAAATGACCATAACCACCAGAATAGAGCTGGAGCCCTGGGAGACAAGAGAGGAGAAAAGAAGCAGTTAGTGCAGTGCAGCTACAAGAAACACATATTACACCATATAAGAACAGATGGCAATCAAGAGGTGATCAATTATCAGTTGTTAATTTGATCCTATTTGTATATAAGTAACCTATACACTAACCAAACGTGATATTTCAGAAATGTGCAACTAGTGCAGCATCTCGACTTAGCGTGGAGCTGTCTGTGCATGTGATGTCCCCCTGCTGCGGGTTGAGCGTTGACAGGAAGAGTGAAGAACATCATTTTTGCATTCAAATTTGTTGTAGGTAGAATTTTTCAAATAATGATCCAGTGTGCTCGTAGGTATTGTATTTTCACATTAAAAGTCTTCCTGCTTTCAAATCGATAGGCTTTTAATGTGAAAAATCTGATGGCTTAACATTGACCAAGAGGAAGGAAAGTGGAACCACTGGAATTAATAGGTGATATTTCTGTTAAAAAGAGACACTGAGAGCAGCAGAGTGGTGAGGGTGGAAATATATATCATGCTGAATTTACCATGTGAGTCATTGCAATAGCTTAATCCTCCCATACTCCAGATTTTATGTGAGAATTTTCTTTACATTAAGTTGACTACATCTCCTTTTTGCCTGAATTTGCCTGATGCAAACAAAAGCTTTGTTTTAAACCTACAGGTATGAGAGTAGTACCGATATTTACATCAGTCGCAGAAAGAAAACCAAGCGTATTTCCCAAAATATTGCACTATTTCTTCATTGGCTGGTCGTTAGATTTACCACTCAGCAATTAAACAATCATGGGAAATGTGGATCCATGTTGCTATAAACAAACAGACAGACACGCTTTATCTGTCTTAAATGTAAGGACTCACTGAGTTTGATTTGAGGGTGAGATGCTCTCCTTCCTGCTCCAGAGTGATGGGCTGAGACTTTAGGGGTGGGGAGAGGGTGAGGTCCCTGTGCAGAGGCCACTCCTCCAGCTCTGCCCCCACATTCAGGTTGTCCAGCATCTGTACAGAGTCCATGGATCCCTCTCTAACCGGCCGAAGGCCTCGGGATCGCAGCCTGTTGTTTTTGGGGGCGGGGGACTCCTGGCCCAGCCCCCGAGATGTCTGTGAGTCCGGACACTGAAGCCTCATGTCAACCGTGTAGTCATTCATCCTCTCCTCGTCCTGCTCTGTGAGGCGTGAGTGGGCGGGGCTCCACCTAAGGGTGCTTTCAGCAGTCCAGCCCACCGTGAGGCCATCTAGCCTTTGGTCGATTACAGCATGCTCGTTAAGCTTGTGGTTGGAGGGGTTGTGCTGCTTTGGATGGTGGTTGGAGTAGACATGCTCTCGAGGGTTATAACTAGAAGAGACGTGGTCCTTTGCATTGTGATTAGAGGAGATATAATCTTGGGATTTGTGATTGGAAGAAGCATGCTCAGAAGTCTTGTGATTGGACATGTTATGTTCCAAGGCTTTGTGATTGGACAAAATGTGCACCTGCGGCTTGTAGTTGGAAGAGGCATGCTCACAGGCCTTGTGATTGGTTGAAGAATGATCCCATGTTTTGTGATTGGAGGATGAGTACTCCCTTGACTTGTGATTGGAAGAGGCATGCTTGGAGGGCTTTTGGTTGGACAGGGAGTGCTCCCACGCTCTGTAGGAGGAAGCGTGCTCCCGGGACTTGTGATTGGACAAGGATTTCTCCCGTGGTTTGTGGTTGGACAGAGGGGCTTGCTCGTGGCCGTTGATTTGGCCCTCCTGCTCTTCCAGAAGGGAAGGTGTGGTGGATCGGCTGCTGCCCCCTCGCTCCGGGTACATGTCATCAGTCCAATTGTTAGCCCCTCCCCTCGGCAGATCCACTCCCCGCCCCTCCACCAGCACCTGGATCTCAGCCCCGCCCTGATCATCCACGGCACTCTGGCGCATGAAGCAAGCATTTCTGGGGCGATGGGCGTGCTTGGGCGGGCTGTGGGGGGGCGAGGTGGGTACGCTCAGCACGGGGCTGAGATCAGGTGTTATTACAGGCGGCGTGGTGTCCGGAGTGCACAGCTCCGGACTGTCTGTTCCTGTGGAGATGACCTCATGGTCTTTGTCCTTGGCATCCTGGTGCTTGGGCCTCTGACATTCGAGCCCTATGAAAACAGTTGGAGAATAGCAGCAGTGAAGCGACTTGGCACTGATCCACAGCCAGTCCATCAGACCTACAGTGTGTGTGTCAGTGTTATTAGCATGCAGAGTCACAAACGGAGAGAAAGCTGCATACAGACTGGATCTTGTACATGCAATCACTGTTGGCTTAGAGAGGATTATGGAAGTGAATAGACTTGATTTAGTTTGAATTCTCAAAGGCTAATCCTCTGTAGTTTGATGTTTATTATGAGATCAAACACTGATCCTGGTTCACATTGCAAATCCACATATTGTATATGTATTGTATTAATCTGTGAAAGGTCAGATACGTAAACATATTTTATGTGGATTTTAAATCAACATAGTGAGTTCAGTTACATCACATCCATTTTTTTATTTAAACTTGCTGTTACGATCCAGGTCTCTGGGGGAAATGAAGCTCCATAACATGGATAGAAATTCAGCAATAAAATAATTTAGAGTGACAGTAGATCTTTAACAAACTTGAATATTCAACAAAGATGAAAATCAAAGGCCTGTGGGTCATGCCAAAAGAAAAATGAATGCTATGTTTATTTCTTAATGTAAGGTGCCTCTTATTGACAAAAACACCTAAAGGAGAACATTATTATACAAACAATATTATAGCTAATGACTTATAGTACAAAGCCATCACTTTTGTTTCATCATTTACTTTTTCATTGTTGCATATGTTTCATATAGGACTGTAATATAAACTTGCCCAACAACTACTGTATATCAGTGGATATGTTTAAAGCCACAGTAATCAGTATGTTAATGTTGATAAACTGACAGTCTAGCTCCTTGTGGTCGTTTTGCATTTATATATAGTCATTTTGCATCTTTTTATGGTTGTTTTTCTGTTCTTTTACTCGTTTCCCACCTCTTTGTGATCGTTTTGACTTTTCATGAAGAAGTATTAACATTTCAAACAGAAGCTCCTGAACTGAGGTGTGGCCCACTGGGCACAGGTCCAGGAACCCAAGGGTTCAAGGGTGCCTGGACCTGTGCCCAGTGGGCCCATTATGTAATCAATCCATTACATTGATTACATTATTAGTATATTATTATATTATCAGATTACCCATATTTTGAGGAACCTCAAGTAAGTCCAGGTGCCTTCGTGCAGCACTTTGAAACTGTCATTCAGCAATTTAACTCTAAAAATGACAACGGCAGTAACTGGTTATAAAAGACTTGCAGGTTTTAAACGATGAACAAATGAAGAGACTGTTTACAATGAAACATGACATCCACCACAAAGGTCTGGCCTGGAATTAAAATTCTGTGTCTGCTACTCACCGTTCCCATAGATGTGGAAGGAGGGGGAGAGCTCTTTGGCAGCTATCCGGGCCAGTCGACACTCCTCCATGGCCTTCTGCGCCACGCCTTCAGCTGCCTCTGCCTTCCCCCGAGCGTGGCTCATCCTGAACAGGACAGGTAGACACAGTGCAGTCAAACAGGCTTTAAAGGTCTTTATTGAGTCTGGAGTCATGTAAGTCCTATTTAGTGCTCATTTAAGCCAAATTCACTCTCTATATTTTTTATGAAATCACATCCAGGAAACACGGGAATAGATAAAGAAAAGATTATTAAAATTAAGATATCCCATAATAGTCCCTATTTTAAAACATTGAATTTATGATATTTATTGTTTAAATTTACGTTTGATTGAAACGTAACTAAGTACATTTACTTAAGTAGCAGAAATTCAGTAATGGTGTGTTTTGGAGGTACTTGTACTTTACATTTACAAATATTGTACTTTTCATTCCACAACAGTCATTTGACAGCTTTAAACACTAGTTCCTTAACAAATTAAGATTTGTCATAAAAAAAACATAAAGAGCGTATAAAATATGACAAGTAGATCAGAAATGATTAGTCGATTAATCAATCAGCTGATTGTCAGAAATTAATATGCGACTAGCCTGATAAGTGTCTAAGTCATTTTATAATGCCAATTATTAATGGATTTAGCACAGAAATGATTCCATACTGACAAATTATTGCACCACTGGCTGTTAAATCCCCTGAAACCTTAGATTAAAACCTAAAGTTTTTCTCTTTAACATTGAATATCAATGACTAAATAACAACATCGTTAGGTTTTATTTGATCTGATATTTCTATTCAGCACAGTGTGGGCGTGGTTTGATCAGATTTGATTGATTGTGATAATATTTTAATTTGAATGTCTCTAAATCCTGATTGGTGCACAGACGTTTGGGACATAGCTTCTGCCCATTCCAAACCAGTGAGAAACACAGACACACAGTAATGTGTGTGAATGTGAATAATCGAGGTTCATGAAAGACCTTGATGGTTGAAGTAAAAAGCTGATGGAGAAAACATGTTTTCAGAGCCTTTAAAGGTAATCTCCTACCTTGACATGGCGATCTCTGCTTTCTGCTTGGCGATGTCTGCGGCCTTCTCAGCAGCCTCAACAGCTCTGTCCACCTTCTCTCTGATTTTACTGGCCCTCAGCGGAATCAAGTTCTTGCGTTTTCCACTCACCAGCACGTTCTGTTTGTACTTTCCTTCCTCCTTGGTGCCATCAGGGAAGGTGGTGCAGCCATACCCATGCCTCTTGTTCCCCGCCCATTCACCTGCGTAATGCAGGCCGTCTGAGCGTCGACTCACGCCCCAGCCGGCCCTCTGGTCGCTCCGCCACTCGCCAGCATACATCTCTGTGACAGTTGCGTCCACAGGGGCGCCTTGCTCACTCTCACTGGCGTTGGAGTGGATGTCAGATGCAGCAGAGCTGACGGTGCTCATGCCGGCCTCGCTGCAGAAGGAGCTCTGCTTGCTGAGCTGACTTGCCAGAGAGCTTTTGGACTCGGAGCGTCGCAGCTTCAGGCCGCTCAGGATGGACTGGCGGAAACGGCCTTTTCTCTTCCTCTGGCGTTCAGCTTCACTTGGAGCTGTCAGAGCGAACCCACCTCGGCCCACTGGGCTCCCGGCCAGCCCGGCCACCACACCGTCTGTGGGCGTGGTGGCATTGCCGTCCTCCAGCACAGCTGGGGGCCCGTGGCTGTGCTCAGAGCGGAGGGAGTTTATGGATGTTCGCAGAGGGAAGAGGATGACGGCCGCCATACCGTACGGTACACTCTGCCGCACGCCATAGCCGTGACGCATCCCACCCAGCCACTGGCCTTGGTAGGTTCCTGAAACACAAACATTGAAACTGAGGGTCTCAGAAAGAACAAGTGCTTATGGGAGTTTTTTCACTGCTTTTTAGCCATGATAGGAACGTGCCGTAATGTGTGGCGGTCCACTGCTTTGGGCCAGCCTGAAATATTTCAACAACTGAAAAATGAATTGCTAAGCAATTTTGTACAAACATTCATGGTCCCCAGAGGATGAAGCCTAATGTCTTTGCTGTTGTTGTCCAGCACCACCATGAGGTTGACATCTGTGGTTTTGAGTGAATTATCTCAACAGCTATTGACTTTTCCATTATACCTGCTAACCATTAGCATGTGAGCATTGTCATTGTGTGCATGTTAGCATGTTATTGTTAGCATTTATCTAAAGCAACACCTGTGCCTAAGTACAGCCTCACAGAGCCACTGACATGGTGTTGTTTCCATGATGTTGCTAACAACTATTTCCACCGTACCACTGTAGTTTGAGAGTTAGAAAGTATGTGTAGCCCCAGCCAGCAGATATAAGTAACTCCGTTTGTCTCTCTGTCCCTGGAATTTCAAAGATTTAGTTGCACATGTGGCACAGCTGTAAAGGAGTCTTGTGGTTACAGGCGCAGGGCAAGTTTTGGCTTGCCACATATCCCACCTTCTAATCCAGTGTCTGTCATTTTTCCTTAGTAATTCTCAAAGTGGCAGCGTTATCAGAAATATTTTTCTGTATCTAGTTGCTGTAACACTGTATTAAAGCGACAAGTTACAGCCTCAAAACTGGTTCATCTTTAAAAGCTCCACAAGTACGACTGAATGAAGACTCTTGTATTTGACTGCACAGCTGTGTCTATGTTATATTACCAATGTCGTTTTTATGTCTTAATACACTGCTGCTAATTTGTATCCTTCTAGCAGCCCAAAAATGCCAACAATTGTGTGCCAAGCAACAGATGTATTTATAATTCCTGTGTGTAAAGGTTTGTGTGGTAGCTGCACAATGCCAGGAATAAAATCTTTGAAATATTTCAGTGCCAAACTGAGGCATATTGGTGCAGCATTAAGCTGTGAAAATAAATCAAAGAAACACTTGAAACAAACACAGAATAAAACCAGATATTTGGCATTTCCTAGACTGCAGAAAAGTACATGTGTACTTTCCAAAAACTGGCCAAGCAGTAGTGTTTATAGAGTGAATCTTCATGCCTGAGCTGCTTAAGATTTGGCAGATTAGACTGAGGGGGTGTGTGGACGGCCAACCAACACTCTACAGTGCAGGAAGAGAGTTTGCCAACAGTTTGACAGTTTCTAAAACATAAAGAGAAGGGGCTTGTTACTCTAAAATCCTCCTTGTGAATCTTCTTCAAAACTTCTGAAAATGTCCTCTTATCGACACAAATTTAAATCCCTCACCCATGGAGGCTCCCTCCCTCCTGTTCATCTACACCACTGAAAAATAAACTGAAGTTAACACCCAGACCTCCCGGAAGGAGCAGAGCTCCCTGGAGAAACTTCAAAACAAAGCAGGTCTGCTGTAGGGAGAGGTCAACATCGTACACCCTCCATCCTCTCCTCAAATCCCTGAGGTGGTCAGAACAAGAGATGAAGCAGATCCAGAGTCTCATGTTTCAGGGCAGGAAACCCGACAGCCTCCTGTTCTACTCGTGGCTTGTCAGTTTCATTTAGAGGAGAGCTCGGCGGCAGACGTTCCTGCTGACAAAGCTGCAGAGTTTCATGTCATGAAAGGCATTTAACAGCTGTCTACATTTCCTTCATATAATCTGGGCTCAGCCTCAGTGTGTCCCTACACGACCGCCTCACTCATCTAAATCAAACCAGGGCTCTCAGTGAATTGATTAGTCTCTAAACTGTCAGAAAACAGGGAAAATGTCCATTAGAGTTTGGAAATTAATCATCAGCTATTTTGATAATTGATTAATTGTCACTTTTCAAGCAAAAACACCAAATATAGCCCTCTGTCACAAATTGGTTTTAATTTTACAGTATGTCACATTCAGACTTTTTTATGCTTCATATTGATTGACAAATCATCACTTTGAGCTCTAATCCTGCACTTTGACTCAATGTTATAACTAAGTGCCAGTTGTTGAACATGCTACATGCTTTTAGCCTATTGTCTGTTTCCTATGGTGCCAAGCCGTGTCAAGGAGAGAACAAAAACAACTCATTTGTGCACACAAATGTGTCATAATCAGTGTGAACATAACATTTACAATGTTAATAATGTCAACATTAAAAACAAAAATCCAAAGTATACTAACATAATCTAATCAGAACTGCATTAAACTCAAGTGGCTCATTTAGATTTGATTGTCATGCCTGGACACTCATTTTTACCTCATGAAAACAGCATAAATACAGGGTTTTGGCTTCTTGAGAGCAGCGGAACAAACTGTAAATATAACCTTAACCTAATGCCTAAATTATGTTGAACATGATATCAAACAGTTGCTTTTTTACACATCCAACAAATACAGAGAAAGATGTTAATTCATTTGGAGTCATGTCTCTGGCCACCTGATGAATGTTAGTCCAGTATTCCCTCTCTTTTAGCTCTGTTTTTGGTCTCTACCGGCTCCTGAGGGAAACGTCTGGCTTTCTAGCTGCAAAATGCTCCACTGTGTTAACCCTGTCTCCTAGAAATTACATATATATACAGCTAAACTGCAACAGCAAATACATTTTGAAAGAAATGTCATTACAACCATGTTATGTTTTCTATAAAAGTAATGTGGCTATGTTGTTGGTTGCATATTTGGCAAATGGCAAATATGTTGATACCGAGTTCAGTAAAGTGGCTCCAGCAGTATTAATCTGTTTTATGGTCCTGTTTAGAATCTCACAGCACTTGGTTAAAGTTAGAGAAAGATCCTGGTCTGTTTTAATACAGAACAAGTTCACAGTGACTTCAGACACAACATGTTTATTTACATTTAATAAAAACCACAATCTTCCCGTAACTATAACCAAACTGCTTTTGTTGCCTAAGCCCCAGACGGGACTGTGGTTGTGAGTACTGGTCTCTAGTGTGACAGTTGTGCGTTCTGTACAACCACCATCCACCCTGACCACCTCTTTGCACATGCACTGCCATTAATAAATGATAGACTGGTGCAGTTGGTGAACACTTTAGATCCTTTTCTCTGGAAACAGCTGCCTGGTGTTACTGTAAACAAGGCCATGAGAGTGGTGAGAGTGAACCAGGACAGTCAAATAATGGGCTGTAAAACTAAAACTATGGGCTAAAAGCAGCTAAAATGCTGAGGGGAACTGCAGAGTTGGGTGATAATTGTCTGTGAGTTTGTCATGATGACCATTATAATTATTCATAGTTTGACATGTAACAACAGCTTAATATTCTTGTCATGTGAATAAGTTCATTTAACATCAGACCAAGTAAATGTTGAATGTTAAATAGGAACCACACACTCTCTCCAAATTACACTCAACCAAAATGAATGGTTCTGACAAAGCCTGACGACTACAGTACAGTAACGATTAGCATTGTATTAGCACCGAACACAAATAAATCAGTTTCACAATCACAGATATTTCATGTTGCCTCACCCTGCCAGGCAGGTTTGTGTTTATGCTTGACATGTGGTTAAATGTTAGTGACATTACTGATAGTTCTGCTCTGTTGGAGGGTTGAGACACACAGGTTTGTAATAGTGTAATTACAGCTTCTAAATGAATGTGGTGATTACTTTCTTGGAAATCCATCCACACATTCGTGGATGGTTGACAGGCTCTGCAGTGTCTTTCAGAGTCTGTTCTGTTTGTTTCAGAACATGATGAACTTCACACAGGTTGCAGGTCTGTTTCAGAGTGAACCAGTTTAAGAATAAACAGATACTCCTCAGTTCAAAGACTTAATCTTGGAGTGAAGCAGCTTTAGAGACAGTGAGACTTGCTGCTCGGTGAGTCACAGCTGTGAGGAGAAAACTATTTCATTACTGGGTCATTACAGGGGTTTGTGCTATTTGCTGCAGCAGTGAACTGACATTTATACTGATCTTTACTATAAACCTCAAAATGTTAATTAATATTTCCAAGGTTATTCTGTTTTTTCCAGAATGAATTTTTCTGTTGGGGTGCTCTTATGTAAGTACTCAGATCTTTTACATAAGTCAAAGCAGAAATACCACAATGTCAAAGTCCTGCATTGAAAAGTAAAAGTACATACATATTAGCATCAAAATATACCTGTAGTACCAAAGTACTTTAAGTGCTTAATATGCATAATGGACCATTTCAGAATTTTGTATTATAATATATTATTATAATTATTAATGCAGCCCTAACCCTAACCCTTCCCTCTGAAGGGTAGTGGAGTAGAAGTATAAAGTAGAATTAAATAGAAATACACAAAAAATAAAGAAATATGCAAAAGTCACAGAAATAGTGACTTTTTAAAGTGTTTTGGAATCATGAGATTTCTCTGAATAAAACAAATTGTGGATGGAATCCAATGGCAATCACAAGCCCATCCACAATGTTTAGAGGGTAGAGATGAGATCTTATAAACCTTTTGCAAGATTAATTTGAACCTTCATATTAGTTAAAAGTGGTGAATTCGATGTTTATACTCCAACCACAGTACACCATGAACGTCAGTATGTAGTAAATACTGTGTAGTACATCAAGTAAAACTGTATGTGGTCATTCCTGGAGCTGTCCGTGGTGCTGAAACCAATAGACAGACCCAGTATCTTTCAACTTTTAAAACACACCGTCCCACCTGTCGGACTGTACTTCAGGTGTGTTTTGGTCTTTACCAGACTCATTCTGATAACAACCTCAATAAATTATACATCGTTTGAAAACTTAAAATCTCCTGATTATTTTAGTATCCACATATCACTGCAACAGCTGTTGACACAGAATTGGTTTAGACTTGTGGCTGTGGCTTTAAAGTGCTTTGGAGCACATTTTGTTTTATTTTATTTTTCCAACTGTGAGCAGCTCCTCCATTTCCTTTGTACATAGCATTCTGGGATTTTCAACTGTATTTCAACTACACAAAAAAACAACACAGATTTTTTATACTATTTTATATACTTTGTCACGTTTTCAGTGTGCAAGGCTGGGCACCATCTTCACTGTGTTATTTGTTTGTGTTGAAATATGCATCTAAACAATCTCAACTGAAATGATAACGACCTTAAAGCAGTTTGAAGAGATTTCTTAGCCACTTGGGGGCAGCACAACAAGCTGTGAAATAAACACTGACATATTATCACCTAATAAAATTGTCATGGAGAGTGTGTTAGCTACCATTTAAGGTGACACCTGCATTATTACCTAATCTTGAAGCCAAAACTTTGTCAAATCTAATTTTCAAATCTCTTTACTAGTTTATATTGTGCATCCACGGCCCTGGTAACATGAACACACTACATACATACTATACACAATTAGTATGTAGTCAGGATGTGTCCTAACTGTGCTTCATACTAACTCTAAGCAGGTTTTGAACATGTAATGCTTTCACATAAAAGGTTATCACATTAAGTAAACTCTGAGCAGTCAGAATACAGAATAAAAACACAGTTTTTGAGTGTGCTGTTGATGGACACTATTCTCCCACATTGGAATTCAGAGAAAATAGAGGGGCTACTCACAGCTGCAAAACATCAATATAAACTGCAGATTCTGGTAAAACCGACCCTGGGAAACGTCATGTCGGAAATCTAGGCTTTCTCTTTGTTAAGTTTCTTTCGCATTCATCTTCTAAAATCTCAGTTTGACTGATGTTTATTGGTTGCTGGTATTACGTAATTTCCTGTTAGTAAAAAATTGTAAGGGACCATGGCTGTGTTGTTTACTAACGGCAAAAACTGTGTTCTATAGAGATAAGTGTATAGTATATATATAAATACTGCATACGGTCTTTGTAGCCTGGAACTTGGGCACAGCTACTGTCTCCAGATGGTGCTGTCTACGGTGCTGAAACCAAACCTTGTAGTTCTACTGACTCTACTCAGATCTCAAATGTTTAATTTTTTGGGGTTATTCTTTTATTTATTTTTAAATTCACACTCTCTGTCCTAGCTCATTGTTATTTTCTTTTTAATTACTGACACTTATTTTTCTTAATGTTTTTAAGGCTCCAGAAACTCTAATAATGGGATTTTCCACAGTGGTGGAAAGTAACTCAGTACATTTACTCATGTGAAGCTCATAAGTACAGGTATTGGAGTACTTGTTCTTAACATGGGTATTTCAATTTTCTGCAGCTTTGTACTTCCACTCCACTAGATTTCAGAGGGAAACATTGTACTTATTTCACTAGCCTACTTTTGACAAATGCAGTTAATTTGCAGATGGAGATTTGACCTAAAACAGATTATGATCAGTTTATAAAATACAACACAGTGTTAACAACAGTGATCCAACTTTGGATAAAAATAAATGAAAAAATAAAAACTGTGCAATTGCAGCTCCAGTCAACTTTCTCAGGTGGTATTGTTAAAATAAACCAAAATAACCAATTTGAAGCCCATTCATTCATTCAAAAAAAAGTGAAAAAAATATGATTTTTAGGATTAAAACGAGCAGCTACAACAGTAAAATGAAGCATTGATGCATCAATATTGTTGTTATTATTATTATTATTATTATTATTATTATTATTATTATTAGTCACAGGGAACATTTTACTTTTAGTTTTGATACTTCATGCATAATTTGATGATGACAGTTTAATACTTTCACTTAAGTGAGTTTTTGAAAGTAGAACTCTTAGTATTTTTACTCCGTTGTGTTGGTACTTTTAATTCTCACTATCTTCCACCACTGATTTACTGTTTGAGGATCAGGAGCTGTCCGCGGTGCTGAAACCAAATCGGGAACGTCTCGCGCTCGGCGGACCGGTATATAGGTGCACGGGTCTTTGTATGGCCTATGATATGCATTTATTATTAGTCTGTTATCGTTTTTAATAAGCACGCGTTCTGTTGACAGACCGATCTCGTGTGTGCGCTTGAGAAAAGCAGCATCCTGCTCATTTATTGGGTTGTGGAAAATGTGTCAGCTCGTGCGTGCTATATTCATCTGTCGGCGGTCTTCCACGTGAGCGGAAGCGGGAGCTGAGCAGTCGCGTGACGCAGTCCTTTTTTATGTTTCCCTCTCCTGTTGTTTTTATTTTCTGTCTTTTTACAGTTGCGTGTTCAAACAGCAGGTGTAAGGATGTAGCCTTAATGCTCGCGCTGGGAGGCCTCCACCCGCCGGTAAACAACCTCCACCTTCGATGCAGCACCGACGCACACCCGTGTGTTCACTCCCGCTGCATCACTTATTGACCTCGCTCTCCATCTCCATCATCCGGGTCCTGCGCGTTGCTCGGAGGCGGACGGTGCGGGCGTCCGTTATCAAACGGCCTAGATTACAAGCCCCCGAAGTCATTAAAAAAAAAAAACAAAGACTGACAGAAACGAGAACCAATCAGAGAGCAGAAGAGCCGCGAACTGGTCTCTAGTGGCACGCTGACCTGCTGTCTCCCGTTACCATGGAGACCTCACAGCACAGAGGGTGAGATGCAGAGAGGGAGGGGGTGGGGGTGTTTTTATAAACCTTGTGTCTCCAAACAGGAGTGATGAGAATTCAACATGGTTTAATTTCTAATATTAGACACACACGTCCTCCTTTTAACGCCCGCAGCCTGTGACTGTTGTTTTCTGCTCATCTAATGATAAAGGCTGGTCAGTGGGCCAGTGTGAAGGTGATCTATCCCTGTGACAGCCCACCTACTGTGGACATGTGTACAGGTGGACATGGATGGAGGCCCCCACCCCTCCTACACTGGACCAGACTGGAAGAGACACAAAATGTAGACAAACAATATTGTGTTTCCGGTCGTTTTGTGTCCCTTTGAAGTCAGTGGAAAAGCAGCAGCTGAAGTTCAATATTTACTTCACACTGTAGATGAAGAAAGGCTTTCTGACTCCTGCCACAGCAGATCCGCACTCCTCTGCACAGATATTATACTAAATGCTACAGCACACTATACAAAATATGGCCCCCCAGGGACCCTCTGACCCCTCAGGCCCCTGGGCCTGTGCCCCGTAATTCAATCCATGGCTGTGGATGTGACCTACATGTTATTTATGTAGTCTACATCGGAGATTTGTTACAGTAAGCAAGTCGCTCCACTTTCAGCCTGAAAATCAGTTTGTGGAACGAGTAGAGATGTTTTTATTCAGAGAAGTCGAACATGGCTAAATCTGGTCTCTACACTGGTGTTTGGTGTGAAAGCAGAGGCACTGGGACGATGCTGGGGGGTAAAGTGGCTCTGACAGGTGAGATTTCCTTTTTTGTGTTGCAGAAAATCAGTTTTAGCAGCCTTACCTCCGTCGGAGTAGGTTTCAGTGCCGTATCCATCTTGCAGACCGTTGCTCCACGTCCCCTCGTACCGGGCCCCGCTGGCCGTGCTCTCCAGCTGCCCATAACGGCCTTTGAACCCCTGCGTCCACTCCCCTCTGTACTCCCACCGGCCCTTGCTCTCCACTCCGATGCCATGCCGCTTGCCCTGCGCCCAGGTGCCTTGATAGCTGTTCCCACTGGGCCACGTGTACACGCCCAGGACCTCGAAGCCATGGCTCCAGGCCCCCGCGTACTCACCCTGACCCTGGGGCCCCGTGCAGACCCCTCGGCCATGGGCCTTACCCTGCTCCCACCCCCCGCAGTACGACCCCCCATCATCAAAGTCAAACCTGCCTCCAGTGGACATGCATGAAACAGGTTTAGGCAAATCCTTAGAATGTCAAGAAAAAGAAAAAACAAGGGCCTGGTTCACTCAGAAGGAGTAAGGAGGGAGGAGGCCTCGTTTGAATCAGGTAGCATGGAGGTGCAGGGCCTTGACTCTCTTTCTTCCGTCAGTTTAGGATGGAAAACACTCGCTCCTCGGTTTAAAAACAGCACAACACGGCCCAAAGAGCATCACCTTACGATGGAGAAGCAATCTAAGCCTCAGCGATGGGTCTGGAGTGACGAACGCAGCTGCCGTGCATGCTGCTTCCCATGGGCATGCAGGCTCAGAGTGCTTCTCATCCTCCTCCTCCTCCACTTCCTCCTCCACCTTCCTGCTCCACGCAGCCTCGCAGCCGGGGAGCTCGCTGGCCCGTCGCCTCAGCCGTGCAGCGGGGCGCTCCAGACAAGCGAGGCCTAGGCTTTTCCAGCAGTCCCACAGGCCCACAGAGTAGCGGCGGTGGCAGCGGCGACCGAGCTCAGCTCAATCAGACATTACAACATCCTCACATCCCTGCTGCACCGGCACACGGAGAGGGATACAGGACAGGGATGCTGCTACACTCGAACGCCATTAAAAAAAAAAAATAAAAAAAAATCAGAGGAGGAAATCAGAGGAGAAGTTGAAGATATTTTTCTATAGCATGGCCTGAAAACAAGCAATCCAAGCTAATGCTCAGAGACACATATCCATAACCGCACAAACACACACAGCCTCAGCCTTGCACACACACCTCCACCTCGGCAGACATAACAGAGTGTGAATATCTCCTCGGCTCTTCTTATTTCTTCCCCCTCTCTCCTCTCTGCTCTGCTGTGATCTGAAGATGAGGCTCTCTCCTGAAGATCAAGGTGTGAAGAGAGAAAACAGAAGCAGAAAAAAAAAATTATTCCTCTCCTTTTCCCTTTGTCGTCTCCATTTCAGCGCTCGCCTGAATCTGGATTGTTGTTGTATCCCAATTCCACCAAGTCATCTGCCCTCTCTTTTTTTTTCGGCCTCTCTCTCGCTCTTTCTCTTTCTATCCCTCCCTCTCTCACTCTCTCTAAAATCTGCTCATTACAGGACTGTTCCACCCCAGCCAATACCCCTCCCCCACATACACACACACGCACTGAACACACACTCCTTCTCTGAGCTCTTAAAGAGATAGAGACGGAGGGATGGTACGAATAGCTGCATGTACGGAGCTCGCCGCTCTCTCCCTTTGGGGATACAGCCTTCTTTTTCCTAATTATCCAGCCTCATTTCACTCTCTCACACTCCTCCTTCCAGACTGAAAACTGGTCAGTCAGCAGTCTGTTTTCCTGATAACTGGAGGTTTGTGAGCTCATTGATCCTCTGCCACTCTCCCCCTAGCTAATTGTTGGTCTTTCTCACTGTTGTCTCATATGGACTGTAGCTGTCATTTGAGTGAGCTTTCGCTGAAGACCACAGAGACCCTGAATGACCTTTTTTAAACAGCAAAATGCCCACAAAACTACAACTAATTATGGAGCACCTATCTGCCAGTGTGCTACCAAAATGTGGGAGCTTCATCACAGCCTGACAACCAAACACAGCCGCCTTCACTTTCAGAGCAGTCATGTGGTTAATATTTTTCTAATCAATAACGTAAGCATTATGGTATGAAATCATTGTCATTGAACGCACCATCTGTTGGATCGTATAGTGACCAGTGACCAGTGTCCTTCAAAGCCAGTTATTTGTTTCAACAAAGGGTAATAAGCACCAACATTTCGGTCATAGAGATGAAACGCATAGAGCAGATTGTGAGGAAAAGATGTGGCATTTCACACAAAATGTGTATTTAAATGCATTGAAATGTAAGAATCTATACATAGTTATATCTACAACATAATTATATAAATAGTCATTGTAAATACACACACACACACACACACACACACACACACATATACATATACATATGCCCACATTTAAATATACATTTAAAATATAAAAATAATTCAATTCAATGATAATTTCAAAGTATTAATATAGATAATTGAATAAAAAGAATGTTGACATTTAAAAAATAATTTCATTAAATAAAATAAATCAGTATTTAAATTATGAAATATTAAAAAACAAATACATCTTCAATATGCTTTGTGTGTCAGACATTAATTTTGTGTTTGTTCTGTTCTAACAAAATGAAAGCAATAAAACATCTTACTTATATTTCCTTTCTTCTATGATATAAATAATAGATATTTAGAAATATGATGATATTTCTTAATTATTATTCTTATTATTACTTTATGGACAAAATGGTTTATTTATTAAAGGTAAAAGTAGCCAACAGACAAATAGAGGATGAAAATAATTGTTAGTTAGTTGTACACCTACACCTGAGCACAGGTTGACAGGTGTAGAGGAGACCAAAGGTCGACAAGAGCACGGCACAGTACACCATCTGTATTCAGAGGAGTGGTTCATTACTGAGCCCTTCAGCAGCCGTTCTACACAGACATGGGAGAGAAGCTGCTTTTATAAGTGAGGATGTGACAAAAGCCAACCAGTCAACACTAACAGACACCAACCAGCAGTTAATTGAAAAATGTGAATAAATGAGTGAAGTAATTCATTCTGGGCATGAAGGCTTAGCTTGTTATCTTACCTTAAATTTTAAATATTTTTTTTATAACAGCATGTAGGAGCAACATTTTGCCACAGACACATTCAAAGCACCATGTTTTCTTTGGCAGGGCTGAACGTGACCCAGGTGTTCAGTGAAGCATGATAATATACACAAAGCACGTAAAGACCCTGTGTAAAGTTCTTTTCTATCATCAAATATGACAACAAACAAAGAACTTGAAAACTACTTACCATCATAAAAGACTCAAATAAGGCAGAAATAAATGTCTTCAAGATATTTAATGGACCCTTCCCTGCACCACAGTGTAAAACAACATGCTAAAGAGCAGATGTCAGCGGCCATGTTTAAATTCTTCATAATAAGTGTTTTTGTCATTGGCTGATGATGCTGTTGTCTCCACTTTCTGCACTTTCTTTTTTGCACATTGTGGTGTGAAGATCAGGGTCCAAGAACCTACTAAAACATTGTTTCTGCCTCGTGCAAGTCTGTTGTTGCAATACTTAATTTTTTGAATCCCTCTTATTTTCCCCCATCTGTATCCCTTTCTCTTTTTTAAAAAATATTTAACAATAACATATTCATCGACTTATAAGAGTTCTGTCTGAACTAATAAATTAATCAGTGAAACAGAATAATACAAGAATAATAAATCACAAATACAACAATAAATAGCCTACATTAATATTTATATGATCAACTGTTATAAAAAAGGAGGGGGGGGTAAAGCAACAATACATATATTGTACAATATCCAACACACTTGTTCTAAATTCAGAAGCATGAAAAGAAAAATCTAATTTCTGACACTGACAGATGCAGTGAAAAGTATCAAAAACCAAAAAGTTTTTTTTTTTTCAATGATTTACTGACACACCCGTTCTTTTAATACGCATTTTGTGGATTCTCTTAGATTTTTTAAGAAAGAAAAACACTTCAGATAATCACGGGAAAATAGAAGCTGCAACGTGACAAATTCACTGTGAAAACAACACTTAGCCTCAAAGTTACACAGAGCAGAAGTGAATTAACATCTCTGTTTGACATAGTTTGTCGTCATCTGTTTGAGCCTTTAAGATGTGTTGTGATGCTTCAGATAGTGCATTTCAAACCTTTACAATCTCCATATGTCAGAACACACGTGAAGACATTATCACAGACGTGTCGAGAGGCAGGAGATTGTCACTTTGGAATGAATTGGAGTTGGATGTGACTGTAATAACAGTGAAAGCTGTGGAAGAGATTAATGAGCTGCTGTCTGCACGGCGCTCGTCACGACCTTTGTTCCCGCTCACTAGATTTTCTTTCACTTGAAGGAGTATGAAGACAAAATGGAGACAAATTTAACTTAAAGGACCCACACAAGCAGGAATACAGACGAGTAGAAGAAGTGATCACGACCTATTAGATGTATGAATAAATATTTGGGGATTTCGGACGTCAAGTTGAATAAAACAAGAAATGTCCATATGAAAACCTTGGCTGTGGAAAATGACAGTTGGCATTCATCGCTCTTTTCAGACATTTTGTAGGTCAAATGATTAATGTATCAGTCAAGAAAATAATCTGCAGATAATGAAAATAATTGTTAATTGCAGCACTATTTTCTAACTCCACGATGAAAGAAAGATATCCTGTAGTTGTGAGCATATATATTAACTTGCACTTTACATTGATATAAAGATATCCTGTAATTTGCACTTTACAATGATATAATGTACACCAACTTATGAAACAGTGAATGATGAGGTTCAGTTGAAACAATGACATCTTAACCTTTTACTGCACAATGTAGTGACTTATTATTATTAAAGAACAGTGAACACAAATTTGTCTTTCTGTCACAGTAATGAGTTGTTGAAACTCCCAAAACACATTAAGATTTAATACGGATTCACAGAAAACACGATTTCTTTTTCTTGGATCCATGTCACAAGCTGTTTCCCATCCACTGTACTTTTCTACTCAAGCTGATTGTAGTAAGAATCTTCCAGTGGTCTTCATATATTATTGAGTGATTTCATATTTTATAAGCTTAACATAATGTTTCACATGTAAAATCCTATTATGCAAAGCAGACACTGACTACAGGATCGGATTAATGTAGAGGACTATAAAGAAACAAGCCCTTTGAGATGTGGTGCAGTGTAGAGTCTCACAAAATGGAAATACTTAAAGTTAAAAACCATCATCCAAATATAAACAAAAGGGTCACACCGTCAGACAAAAATATAAGCACACAAGTATTCACAACAGTATTGGTACTGAATATAATTTCAGTTATATTCCACTGCAACTCGTGAATATCAGTTAATGTGTGTGAATTTAAATTTATATGGTGAACAAGAAAAATATAAAAATGAAATACCTCAAAGTGCCCAAGTACAAAAACAGTGCTCGAGTAAAATGTAATTATAGTTACTTTGCTCCTTTGAGAGCAGTCAACTAAAAGTCACATAATGTGATATTAGCATTTAGATTTGTTGTTGCCGAAAACAAGTTTGAAAACAAACAAGCAAACAACAAAAACAACAAAAACAAATTTAAATATAGTTTAAACAGCAGCCACACAGAGTTAGCAGTTAGTTAGCCGGTGAACAATACTGAAACATTTAGCAGCTAAAGGGCGAGATATATTTTTCACTTGGTAGAGACCAAAAGCAGAGCAAAAAGGAGAGTGATTATGGGACTTATACTTTGTGAAAATTAGGACAAACACCCCTTATTCTAACTCAGGAATGTCCACATATTATTACGAGGTGGTCCGCCCTAGTGCTAACCTTGCAGTCACACCAGATAAACGGCTTAAATCTTAATGAACTGCTAGCAGTGCTACATGTTCAGCCATTTTGCCAACAGTTTGTAGTTCTTTTCACACAAGTGAGATATATCGTTGTTGTCAGAAAAATCCCGATTCAAGTCGGATGCTGACGTGGCCAG